CTCTGGCAAAGAAAAAGTTTAACTGTCTTCTGATCATGACACAAGCAAGCATCTTCCAAAGCAAAGTGTGAATATGTTCCTTGGGTGGATTTGAACCACAAACCCTCAACAAGATGGAGAAACACAAAGGCTGCAAGACTTTAGCTACACTACACAATGAACTGGAGCATTTGGTCGACTCATCCTGGTCTGATAGAGTCACATGATCTTTTGGACAAAAACATGTGAAGAGATGTAATGCAAGTCTAAAACTGGACTTGAACCATGAACCTTCTGTATGAAAGGCAAAGACCTTTCCTCTACACCATCAATCACCAGAGGAGATTTTATATTAGCATGTGTTCATGAATATGGACAAAAATATCAGTCGTGCTGTAAAATGGGATCTGAACCATGGACCTCCTGCACAAGGAACCAAACATACGTTCTCTACACCACCATCTCCTGCAGTTTACATATATATTTTCTTCATATCATGACACCAGGAAGAATCTTCCAGAATAAATTGAAAACAAATGTTCCTTGGGTGGATTTGAACCACAAACGTTCAGCAAGTCAGAGAAACACAAAGGCTGCAACACTTTATCTACACCATACAATAAACTGGATCATTTGGTCGACTCATCCTGGTCTGACAGAGTCACATGATCTTTTGGACAAACATGTGCAAAGATGTAAAGTGAGTCCAAAACAGGATTTGAACCATGAACCTCCTGCATACAAAGACATAAGTATTTCCTCTACACTACCATCTCTGGCAGGTAGACACAGTTAGTTTCATCATATCATCACACCAGGAAGCATCTTCCAAAACAAAGTGCTTTTTGGTAAACTTCTCCTTGTCTTGTCGAGTCATACGGTCTTTGTGTTGTATCTTTAGTTTGGCTGAAAACACTGCTGCAATGTAGAAACCTTTGGGTGTCTACCAACCTTCACTCAGTGTTGTTACTGTCAGGGTGATACGTCATCATTTTGTCACAGTTAGAAAAAAAGAACACTGGCTGGATTTGATCCACTAACATTCTGTTTTAAAGTCTGGTTATTCAACCAGTAAACCACCAAGATACTCCTGATCAATGACCTGTCCATGAAATGATTAGTGGTCCAACCTCTGAGATCTGAGCATCATAGTCAAGTCGAATGTAATGTCAGCATATTCCCAAATGTTCCTCTTGAGGTTAGAAAGCTCATTCCTCCCAGAAGTTACCCTGAATGGCTTCATGTAGCCTGATTTTGGCTCCAGAAACGTGGGTTGGACATTAGGAATGTGTCAGAGGGGTAGAAACCAAGAGAGAAAACCAAACCAAATCCTGAACGTCATCTTTACATTTTTTTCCTCAGAGACGACAATGATCAACTGTTTGAAATAATTAATCTGTCTTGCAGCCAAAAACAAACGCTGCTGTGAGCATATTAAAAACTTACAACAACAAGGAAACCATAATTTCAAATGTTCCATCACAGACAAGTGTTAATGAATGAACACACACATTTTATTTAACATTTATTTAACCAGGAAGTCCCATTGAGATTCAAAATCTCTTTTACATACATATCATATGAGATGCAACAAATACAAATAAAACAACTATTAAAACATAGTGGACCTCTCAAGAAAAACAATCACATGATGCCCTTAAATTTATTAATATATGAGTGTTTCTAATCCAAGATCTTTCTGCAGATTATTCCAGCCCATGGGGCACAGTAGGAAAATGCAGTTTTCCCCAAATCAGTTACGTAAATCGGTACGTTGAAAAGTGATGTCCTTCAGAGAATTTCCCCCTGACTGACCAAATCTTACTAGAAACTCACCCCTAGTGTTCATGTGGTTCTGCAGTGGGTGTATTAAGAACCAAACCAGTGAGTCTGTGAAGCCACCTGCAGCAGGAAACCCCACAAAACCACACAGAGTGCCCTGAGGTAGCTGTCTGAAGATGACTAGCCGCTCCCCATCAACTAGTGAGTAAGCTGCTCTAAATGACGCCACCAGCAACCGGAGCTGCTGCCTGAGTTCATCTGTGAGGAGCTGTAGTGACTGACAATGACCACTAGAGGGAAACAGACACCCTTGTTGTATCGGTGTGCTTGAAAAGTATCACTGACAAAGATTAGGAGCTGCTTTATTTTCTCACACAGCATTTAAACTCCTGCACAGAAGGGCTGAACTTGTCCAGGAATGCATCAACGACCACTGCTTGTCATTAATCAAAGAGAAAACACATGCAGCACATGTACACAACGTCTATGTTGTCATCCTCCTCAGACGCTCTGGTCGTGATCTTCTTCATGGTGGCAGAGCTCAGGAGGAACACACACTTCTTCTTAGACTCCAGGAAGAGGAACCGTCTCCACATCATCAGAGGAGGAGCTGCAGGACGCTCTGCTGTGTCGGCCAGGCCTGGAAGAAGAAGAGTCACAGCTTATTATATTTGTTACAACATGAGGAGAGACACACCAAGTATCAGAACTAAAGCTTGTTTTTATTTACCTGCTTCAAGCTGTCAGATGGATGAGTGAGCACACCTGATGGTCCTCATGGAGAGAGGAGCAGGTGAAGGTGTGAGGAAGAGGAGTGACCAGCAGAGGGAGCTGTTTCCCCGTCAGCAGGTCGAAGCAGAAGAAGAGCGACTCACCTGAGCATTGAGAGATAAACAGCCAGTCACATGGATCCAACAGAACCAGGTGCTGCAGCCACAAGCAGAGACTGGACTTGTTTGGGTGGATACAGTCAATGTTTAGAAGAGAAACAGTTGGAGGTGAAGTTCATGTGCTGCCGAGGTTGTTGGTGTTCAGTCTGTAGCTGCTGCTGAATGAACAGACGCTCCTGGTGGATAACAATGTGTCAGTGTGTTGTCCAGTCAGGCGAAGCAGCAGCTGATCAGTCTGTAAAGTAGTTGTTCCAGTTGCTTGTTGTCCACATGTGCTGAAAGCTTTGAGTTCTGCTCATGTCTTGCGTTCATAGATGCAGGGCTCCAGACATCTGTGACCTTTTATTGAGAATGTGCAAGTTAAAAATTGAACCCTAACAGCACTCAATCACTAATGAGGGAAAATCTAAACAGGATCTAGAGCCTCAACAAGTTCACCAAAGTACAACAATCATAAGACACAAAGAGGCACGTGAGCAGGGCTGGCAACAGCTCGCCGCTGCCAAACGCTGGTCTGCTGGTGTTTTATATCCTCCCGGTGGCTCCTGATTGGTGGATCCAGCACAGGTGGACGGAATCAGCTCAATCAGTTCCTGCTGCAGGTTATTCTGGTCGATTAATCGGACTGGACTCACTTGAGTTCCTTGACGACATTTCACCTCTCATCCAAGAGGCTTCATCAGTTCTGACTGACTAGTTGGGAGTTCCAGATGCTTATATCCTAAAGGAGCCATTAACACTTGAGTTTTGGTTTCAATTTGTTGCTCCTCCCCCTCGTTATGTGGGTCGTTAGTGCGCCCCCCCCTGCAACAAAGGGGTTCGTTCGGGTCTTTTGTGGCTAGGTGTGGATGTGGTTTCATCTTCCTGCGGTGAGATCGTAGGCCTGAATTGTAAAGAGAGGTGATGCCTCAGATGAAACTGCAGAATGTGGAATAACTTGCAGTGTAAGAATACATGAACATATTTCCCCTGATTGTGCTTTAAATCAATAATGCACATGTGTAGTCTGTGCAGCTGGTTGATTTTCTTGCTGAAGCCAACTAGGCCACCTAAAATCTACTCTGCAGGGCAACAAAGCAGAAAATAAAACATTCCTTTATACTGTGTGAAACAACATCCCATCCATCCGGGGCGTTCTTTGTTATCGTCCATTTGAGGGCCGGCAACAGAATGCTTTTTACTGACAGACTTTGCTCCGACCCAGATCGCTGCAGAGCCAAACAAACATGTGAGAGAACAGGGAAAGTGGCCGCAGAGAATCCATTTTCTAGAGCTAACTGGAGACCCGGCCAGTAAAAACGGTCAAACCGCCTTTCTAGACTTTTTTGTTGTTGTTGTTGTTGCGCCTGGAAGATGTTTTGAAGTTGTCATCACATCGTACTGTCCTGTGCTGCCCTCTCTGGATCCACATTCTGATTGAAGCCTGCAGGAGAGGTGAGCCGTCCTGGTTCAGAGGGTGAGTTCTGGAGGGCCTCAGCCTGGAGGAACCACAGCAGAGGGGGGTGCGACACCTCCAGGGTCGAGCAGAACAACGTGGGTCAATCATGAAACCAGTCATCCCAAAACAATTCTGATTTTATTTCTTCCATAAATCACTCTAACCTGCTTTCTCCTTCATCTAGTTGAACAGTTCCACTCCAATCACCTCCATTTTGGATCTTTAACTCCAGTAGCTCAAGTGCTCCTGTCCCATGAAAGAGACCTGAAACACACATTTTATTGCAACTTTCTGGACATTTAATTATTTCCAGACGAGCCCACATCATCAGCTGTGTTCCTGGGAGATGTTGGGCTTTTTAGATTATGAATGAAAACAATTTTTATTATTAAAAGAACTTAAGATGAACAGCAGAGTTGCTCCGGAGACACAAGATGCACAAATGTCATGAATGAAGGCACGCTGAAGGGTATAAATGATAAATATCTTAAAATTAACAGAACATTTGGATTTGTTTTACATATATGTATATCATGTATATAAAATACAGCTTATAGGATGTGTGCTGCATGTGTTTTCTTTTTCCTAATGTTTGGAAATCACAACTCATTCTAACTTATTGCATGTTTGCATCAAATCGAAAACACATAAAACAAACAAAAAAAGCAATTTCTCTTTAATATATTACATAAAATGTTTCCTAATTAATATGTATGTCATTGTAGGACATTGAAAGAATGGAAAACTGAAACTTTTAATGTGAGCTTTAAAGAAAAATCTGTCGTTGGACCTGCTTCAGCAGATTTGACGACCTGCAGTACAGCTGTTCCACCACTGGAGGTCAGAAGAAGCAAGATTTACTTTTAAAAATGCTCCTGCGTTGAATACTTTGAACCCCCTCGATACGCTCTGTCGCCTTTGTTTTGATGTGATTCCTCTCCTTGTCAAACTCCACCTGTGCCACATCCGACTCCCCTCCAAGAGAAACATCTGTCCACTTCTGCGCAGGAGGAGGAGCATCCACAGCCAACTCCTGCTCCCACGCTGTTCGTTCTCACTTCATCACAGCAGCTCCTTCAACCGCGACGGATGGTTCACCTCCCACCTGAAACAAAACCTGCTGACCCCTGTGGCTGAGAGGCCTTTTCTGCTGCAGGTCTAGCCTGCCAGCCCCAGTGAACCAAACCATTTTTCTCCATGTGAAGCCCCTGAAGATCACCACAATGGCGGGTGTTCCTTTGAGTACGAGACCTTCCTGAACAATATACCCGAAGTGTCTCTGAGCATTAAAGCTTAAAGAACGAGCTCTATTTTTATTTTCTCTGCAGGTCGTATGCAAAGAAAAAACTTTACCTGGAATTCCTCGTCAAACATGGACATTTAATTGTTTTTACTAAGGATCTCATAGAAACAGAATATCACATGAAGCTACCAGCTGATTCCTTTCTGGGCATTTCTTCCGCTTTGAATAAAATCAAGCAGCTTTTTTTCCCCTTCAGCTTGCATGTGGACGTTTTGGAACATATTGTACTTTGTCACTTTTCCAGCATACGAACAAAACCCCGGTTGGTTTTACGCCGTATAGAACTCAGACTCACATTTTCCACGTAGCTATTGTGCTATCTAGATCTTTTTTTGGAGGTTTTATGTGGCGAGCTTTTAAGATTTGGCCTTTTCCCAAAGAAAAGATGAAAAACTGTCCACGAGCGAGAGCCAGCGGAAAATCCCAAACAACTGGAACAATGTCTCCAAAAAAGACCCGATACAGCAGCGTGGATATAGGTCTGGCAACGCAAGGCTAAAGAAAGACCCGATAAGCGTGAAGGGCCTCTGTTGTTTTGGCTGAAGGAAGATTTGGAGGTGGATGCCGAAGTCTCAGCATATAAAATCAAGATGTTTTGCAGGAACTGCTTTTAGTAGTTTTGAGCTCTTGCCCACGAGAGAGTACGTCAGAATCGTTTACGAGATGTCAACATGGAAGTTCCCCAGTGGATTTCATACAATAAGGCTTTTTTTGTTGTACGATTAAATGTTTAAATATGCAAATGAGGTATTAGATATCTGAAAACATGTGCTAATTTGCATTAAGTTTGAGAACAGAAATCTGAACTTTGCTTCATTTTGTGTCATTTGGTTGATATAATAATGTCAAAGGTTCTTCCAGAAGGGATTTTGGAGGTCTCTCTTCTGTTTTTTTAATACACCAGGAGTCCAAAGTCAGCAGCCGAAAATGCAATCCATTTCCGCCATGTTTTTAGTAATAAACTGTTTTATAAACCAGGCTGTGAATCATATATGAACACATTCCTCTGTAAAAACACTCAGAATTAAGAAAAGAATGAAACTTGAAATTTTGGTGTGTTGAAGTTCGACTGAAGTGGACATTTTTGGCTCATAGTATGAGAAAGAAACTTAAAAAAACAAAACATTGGGGCTATTATTTCTGGTATTTCAATTTCTCTTAAATGTTAAGTTTAATATGCAAACTGTGTCATTTGCATACTTTGCAAAATGTAGTTGAATAAACATATTTTCCTGTATTGTCGCTCTTTAAGGTTGTTTTTAAATGATATTGTCACTTCTCTTATTACACAACTATCTAATTAACCCTCTGGGGATGCTTTAATTTACTACCCTTTGAGGATATTAGAGGACAAAAATGTCCTCTAATATCCTCAAAGGGTAGTAAATTTGCCCCCGGTGTATCGTTAACCTAGGAAAAAATTTGAAATTTGAATTTTATGATTTTTCATGAGAAAAAACTTCCTACAAAAAATCGTTTCATTCGGAGTAACACAGAAAAAGTTATAGCCAAAAATTGAGCAAAAAAATCACATGAAAGGACAAAAATGTCCCCGATATCCCCAGAGGGTTAAGTCTTGTCAAAGTTTGTGTGTTTTTTTTTTTTTTTAAACCGCAATAAAAATAAAACCAGTTTCATCGCTGCTTTTCCGTCACATGTCCTTTAGAGGGCACTGTAGGCCTACTTTACACCTACAACATTTCCTTCACATCCCATTTTTTTTCTTATTCCCTCTGAGTTTTCACCGTTTTCCTCTTTATGAAATCATTTTTTTACAGTTTACTAAGGCCTGTGACTGAATATGATGATGAATTAACTCCTCCACAAGTGCATTCTCTTCATATCGTGTCAATTTTAACACAGAAAAAAGGCAAATCTAAAGAGAAAAATCGTTCCGTTCAAATATATTTATTTACTCTGAAGACAAAATAATCTCTACAGTTACAAAAACTACAAAACTTGCAATAGAAAAAAAAAAAAGTATAAACCACTGAAGGAGTGCCGTACTCAAAATGGAATGTCGTACCTTGCATTAAGTAGCAAAAAACTGGAAGTGAGATGATTACAAGAATACAGCATCAAACAGCTCTGTGGCCATCCGTGGTTTCATTTTTCCAGCCACGGATCATAAAAACCGACTGACAGGCTACGAAAAAAAACAAAAAAAAGGTTTGAACTCCGTATGAACACTGATCCAAAAGTCCCATGATGGATGAAGACTACGTGTTTACATGGCACCGGGCTGTGCGTCAGCAGACGACTGTCATCCTTTCCTCAGCTGGGTTGTTTTAGATTTTTTTTTTTTCTGTTTTTTTTTTAAATCCCAGGATACACAAAGGCATCCATGTTTCAGCACAAAAAAGTAGTGGTGCATGTCAAGGATGGAAAATATGTCTCACCGAAGAAGAATGTAAATTTCAAAAAGACAAGGATGGAATTTCTTTGTTGACAGTGTCCCAGAAGACAGATGTTTCCAGCTGGGTAGCAAAAGAAAAAAAAAAAAAAAAAAGTGAAATTATTCTTCAACCTTCTTCGATTTTCTTAAAATTGAGGGAAGAGAACATCCGGAATGCTTACCTGTCATTGTGAAACGGCTGCCAAAACGAAAAAAAAACTAATCTAGAACTTTGGTCAAATCAGTCAAACAAAACAAAAAAAAAAAGGTAAAAATAAATCGACTATTTTAAATGAACTGATTGTACAAATGTGATTGGTGGAAATTCCTTGGAGCATTTCCTGTCGATTAACAATTCAAGCATTTCCCAGGTAAATATTTTGGCCGATTGGAGTTACTATACAGGCTTCGCAAATATATCTGTCAAACATCTCTGAAAATGGCAATGACTTCTGGCTAATAAACAATAATCCCCCCCCACCCCCAACAACATCAAATCTGTTTAAATTAAACATGACTCATCTAGCACAGGTTCAGCCGCCCTAGTTGCAACAAAACGCGCGGTCCAAAATGACATAACCCAAGGCCGTGTTGTTTGAGATTCTCTCCGAGGCCAAACAAGCCTCGACAAAGTGAGACGTTAACATTCGGTGACGTTCTGATGAAAAGGAGAGCCTCTCTTTTGTGAGGAAGACAAAAATAAAGTACACTCGAGCCAGAGGAGTTTTAAAGCTTTTGCAAATGATCCTTACAAGGTCTTACGTGGATGGAGGATTATTGCACGGCCACAAAAAAACAACAACAACAAAAAAACAGAGAGTGGGCGAAAGAACAGGGACGAGGTTTTTTTTTAGCTGAAGGCGCAGTCAAAGGTTTGGACGTCGGTCGGCAAGCGGAAACTCAAGACGTGGCGGGCTTTCAAGTTTAGAGTCGTGGAGATGAACCATTTGTCGCAACACAGCTTGGTCAGCATTTCTTTTCTCTTTTTTTGCGTCTATTCTCATCTGACCCCCTAATACTGAAAGGCACGTTTCACTCACACACACTCATTCACTCACACACACACACTCGCGCTTTGGTCTCCCTCAGTGGTCTGACTGCATTCCCATATGTGCTTCCCCCATGTGTTTAAGGCCAGTAGGAATGGAAGGACAGACGTTTGAGGCAGGAAGCACGCTCAGGCATGTATTCCTAGAGGGGAGGAAGAGCAAAACGAGAATAATCAGTTCGCTTAAAAGTCGGATTTTAAAAAATGGGCGACTGCCTCTTGAGGTTAAGATATGAGGTAAGCTGAAACAAAAGTGGTGGAGCAGAAGTCTCACACCTTCTCTGGTTTCAGCTCCTCAAATGTGAGAAATGTGCTGCTTTGTATCTTTGGAGCTAACTTGAGCTCTGTGACATTTCCCACTGTTTCGTCGTCATTTACCTTTCTCGCTTGCCTCTCCCTGCTTTTCCTGGGCAAAGTTGAGGCGGTTCTGCTCGGCGGCGGACTGCGCGGCCGTGTTCACCTCCGGGCTGCTGCTGCGTGAGGGGCTCCCTTCTTCTGCCTGGTAGGCGAGGCCCAGGTGTTGCTGGGCCAGCTTCAGGTGCCTCCTCAACCGCTCCAGCTCCCTGGAAGAAGGGCCCTCGTCCCCGAAGCTCTCCCGCCCGGAGTCGCCCATCGGCAAGTCCCTCAGCTCCGATTTCAGCTTCTCCTTCTTCATGGTGGCGTGGTATCCCGGCGGAGCTGTGGGCATGGCGCGCGAGGAGGAGGAGGTTGGCGGGTGGGCGCCGCGGGGGTTGAGGGTGGCCCGCCTGCGGAAGGTGTCGCGGATGCCGCCGATCCCCAGGTGGATGATCTCCAGGACGGTGAGGAGCAGGCAGAGGAAAGACACGACGTACATCACCAGCAGGAAGATGGTCTTCTCGGTGGGGCGGGACACGAAGCAGTCCACGGTGTGCGGGCACGGCGAGCGGGTGCAGATGTACGAGGGGATCACCTCGAAGCCGTAGAGGACGTACTGGCCGAAGAGGAAGGCGACCTCGAAGGCGGAGCGCCACATCAGCTGGCACACGTAGACTTTCATGAGGCCGTCGCGAAGGATCCGCCGACGACCATCGTGCTTTTTCTCTGAGCCTCGAAAAGAGGAAAACACTGATCAGAATCGGACTATCTGACCATTTCACAGAAGTCTGCAGATGTTAATAATAATAGATCGGATTTACATAGCGGTTTTCTAATTCAAGAAGTAACTCAAAGACGCATACACTGTCAACTATTCATTCCGAGACCGACAAAAGTATGGCTGCCATTCTGCCCTCCGACCACCACCTCAAACAATCCATTCATTCCCACCAGGCAAGGTTGATGAAGCGTCTTGCCCAAGGACACCATGACACAGGCTACAGGGTGGAATCGAACCGCCAACCTTCCGATCATTTACCGACTCGCTCTACCACCTGAGCCCCCTTTCTCGTACCTTTTTCTGCTTTCTCTGGCTTGTCAGGTTCAATCTCTTCAGCGATCATCGGGTCTTCTTCCCCGTTGTCCTCCGCTTCTTCGTAGTCCCGCACCGCCCCGCGGCTCACGATGGGCATCCTTTTCTTCCGGTTCCTCACGACCCGGTACTCGGTGTCGTCCATGCGGGCGATCTTGTGCATGGCAAAGCCCAGGTACATGATGGTGGGAGTGGTGATCATGATCACCTGGACAAAACATCCAAACACTCATTATGTTATTAACACAACACTGCAGTTGCTTCGACTTCAGCCCTTGAAGTTCACAAGCTGCTCACCTGAAAGATCCAGAATCGGACGTGCGAGAGCGGCGCAAAGGCGTCGTAGCACACGTTCTCACACCCGGGCTGCTGCGTGTTGCAGACGAATTTGCTCTGTTCATCGTAGTAGATGGTTTCGCCGCCGACGGCTGTCAGCACGATGCGGAAGATGATGAGCACCGTCAGCCAGATCTTCCCCACGAAGGTGGAGTGGTTGGAGATCTCATCCAGCAGACGGGTTAGGAAGCTCCAACTCATGGTGCCGAGGTGACTGGAGCGCTAAATCAGCTCTAGATTTAAAGATAAGAAAAAGGAGGACAGATGTAACGACCAATTAGGCAGATGTTTTCTTGCGTGGTATTTAGGATTTCACAGAGGATTTCACGGTGTTTTGTGCGGATTTTTCTTCTCCTTGATAATGAGCTGAAACCAAACAAGCCCCTATGAGTCGTCAGACAAACTTTGATATTACAGGCATTTTCTATTACAAACTACTATGATTTCGATCCTCTCACATGTGAACAGCAGCTGGTTTTCTCAGCCTTTCACAATAACAAACTAAACTTCAGGGATTCCAACACATGTGGAGACATTGTGGTAACGAAACCCTAATTTTCTGACGTTTTATAGAGCTCATGATTAGTTGGGAAAATAATCGACATCTTAGGAAAATAGACATTTGCTGCTTAAATACTTCTTTGTGTTC